ACCTGAGCCGAAGGCAGTCGCTTAACCAACTGAGCCACCCAGGCGCCCTAATTATTTTATTTTCAGTGTAATATTATAAATGCTCAATGAAAGTACCATTTAAATAAGTCCACTTAAATTTTTTCTTAACATTTGCAGGTGAAAGAATTCTATTCTAAGCAGGTTGAGATTGATTAAATGCTCAAAGAATTAATTACAAAAGTAACAAAGATAAAACATGGGGAGGGGTTTCCTACATTAGAGGGACACTCAAAACATGCAAGCAATTTTAGACCTGAGCTGATGAGTTTAGGCAGGTCATAAGGTGATTTAAATGATTTAAGAAGCTCTCAGAAGTGGAACAAATTTATTTGGAAAGTTACAATAAAAATTTAACCAAGACCTTTGGATTAATTTAGCTGAATAAAAGCAATTTTTCAGGGAAATATAACTTGATCATTTATATGTTAGAGATGATGAATGTAAAGCTGTAACAACATTTGAGAACTGTGAAAACAATTCAAGACATTCACATTTGATAGTATATGCCCCTGTTCATCTATATGCTATATGATCTGTCAACTCCTATTGGTTAAACATTAATGGATATGAAAAAAAATAAATTTTCTATAATCACTTTGCCTTAAGACAGTAATTCTCATTTCAGTGCACCCTTCCAGTCTTTTCTATATACATGCTTTCATAGATAGTGGGAACTCCAATTTATAAATGTAGTATACTACCAAACATTTTTCTCATAAATTACTTCAGATAATACTGGTGTCCGGGGATGCTTTTAGTCATCATCCTATTGGTATTTACAAGGGCATGAAATGAATATTAGCCTAACCATGAATACCAAAGCACATTAAAAATATATATATATATATTCAAATGTTGTATATATCTCCAAAACAAATGGAAATATTTTTGGATTTTTGTATTGCTTTGAATTATTTAATTGCTATTAATTTCTGTTGGCACAGAAATTGTGAATGCACTGTTATATATATGAAAGTATTGGATATTCTATTCAGAGTTACCACATACAGAATTATTTGGAAATATAATTTGCAAACCTGTAGAGACTTCATTGGAATTTATAAAATTTAAGTTTAATTATTTAGTTATCTACTTACTTCTATTATTAACACAACCATTGCTGGTTATATCAAAAGAAGACTTTTAAATGGGTAATGATACAATTAATTAATATTGGTTTATATTTGCAAAGAGTGTGATAATTTGATATTCAAGTTTGATAATTTAAGGAAGTGGTCCTAGAAGAACCCAGCAAAGGGGTGGGTAAAGCAGGGCACGGAAAAGAAAAAATCCAAGCAATGGTACGATTCCAGGTCTTAGCCCAATTCCATGGAAAACTCTGGAGCAAGCATAAGCATAAGCATCTGGACTTTTGTACTCCCACAGTAATCAGTCATTGGCTATGGACCCCTGGAGGAAGGTGGGGTAAATTCTCAGGCCTTCTTGACCCTCCTATGGGAAAGAAGGCTTCCACGTAGGCACTTAGGCAGGGCACCAACAGTTTCCTCTACACATTCAATCTTGACAATGTTAGTGTAAAGTAAGTAGAGCATTAGTTATTCTGATAGTATAGGTATAAAAAAAAAAATGGGACCTAGCTAAATTGGTGGAGCTAGACTATATCCATGGATAAAAACTTTATATTGTTATCAATTAATGCTAAAATTATCATGTGTGTATAATGTAAATAGTTACTTTAGAGGTAATACCTAAAACACTAAATAAAAATGGTGGTGATAAGCTTCAATATCCAAGATACTGATCTTATGGAAAATATGGATCCAGAAGATATTAATTACCTTACTAGACAGTCAGTCTGAAGCTTTCTTAATTTACCATTTGTATTACAGTTAGTATGCAATTTAATAGCTACATAAATCCATTATCAGATTTTGTAAAAAAAAAAAAAAAAAAATGGTGAACCAGAGGGTAGGTGGTGGAGGGATGGGTTAAATAGGTGATGGGGATTAAGAGTGCACTTGTGGGGATGCCTGGGTGGCTCAGTCAAAGTGTCTGCCTTTGACTTAGGTCATGATCTCTGAGTCCCGGGACAGAGCCCCACATGGGGCTCCCCGCCCAGTGGGGAGTCTGCTTCTTCCTCTCCCTTTGCCTCTCTCCCCACTCATGCTTGCTCTCTCTCACTCACTCTCTCTCTCAAATAAATAAATAAAATCTTAAAAAAAAAAGAGTACACTTGTGATGAGCACTGGGTGTTTATATGGAAGTGTTGAATCACTAAACTGTACACTGAAACTAATATTACACTGTATGTTAACTGACTGGAATTTAAATAAAATCTTAAAAAAACAACTTTTAAAAAATATGGTGGGAAGAAGCATTTAAATAATAGTTTGTTTATTGGAAAGGAGAATCAAATTTATTATTTGTGTTGTTCTAATTAAGAATGCTTGAGACATTTAAATTCTGAATTCTGTCTACATTTGGTGGCCTGGTGTCATAATGCTCAGAACAGTGACATGCACACAGTTAGTGCTAGCCAATACTTTCCAGTGGGTTAAGATGAGAATTATGTGTAGCCAGCCTTTTAGCATTGTTAACTATTGATCATATACAGACATATAGATACGTATCCAGTAGATATATATGTGTACACTAAATACTAAATATAGATACATAATATGTGCCACATATATAGATATGTGTACATGAAAACATAAATTAGATCTTTGTGAAATAATTTGGAATCTTTGAGAAAGTCTAAATATAAGACGGAAATAAACAACTGTCTTTTGAGAAAGTCTACAGATATAAAAATAAAAAATAGTGTGGAAAGCATACGAACTCCCAGAGAAAATGAAAATAAATTATGAGAATAATGAATACGGTCCTATTGTGATCCTTTATTGTAGGATCTCTAGGTTTCATGACTGCATACCGTTCACAGTATTGGCCTTCATATCCCCTGGGGCAGGCGGTGCAGAGGTAATCTTCCAGGCCTTCCATGACACAAGAAGGGCTAAAACTGAATTGGAAAGAAAAAAAAAAAAAAAAAGATTGTAAAAAGTCTTTTAACCTATTTATCTTATATATTTAAGTAATTCTGTCCATTATCCAGGTGATTGGAACTTATTTTGGGGTAGTTATAAATGGCATATCTATAATTATTTATAAGTTTCTAGTAAAGGGTAGGATGTCACAACAAAATACTACCAATAATAGTCGACAAATAAATATGGTCGGTTTTTAATGAATTTGCGACACCTCACACTAACTATATAAACATTTTGAAATTTTAATAATTATATGACAACCATAAAAATATTAGACATCCAGCAAGTGTCCTGTTTTTCATGAATTGAAAGAAAAATAGGACTAGAATTCATGCACATTTGTCCGATAGCAGAATAAGTATTACTGAATATTTTTCAAGTTAAAAAAAATGGTCCTAAAAGCTATATAATTTTTTTCCCAAAAACTCAGCCCAAATTGCCACTAGCACTTCAACACATGAAGTGTGAATAAATATTTCACTTAAAATAAGAGTGCCTTTTCTAATTTACATACGGATTTCAAACTAAATTTATTTTAAACACAAAGTAATGTGATTTAGTGTGAGGAAAGAAGGGAAAGCTCTCTACATGAAAATGAATAAGATTTTCTGACAATTTTATGATCTTTTCTATTAAGTAGGTCTTATATAACTTGCCCTGTTCTCACGACTGCACTGGTAGACCACGGCCAGTCAGGCTTTGCCAGGATTTCTGATCATCTTACCCTACAAAAGAAACACTTAACAACACTTGAAAACTAACCTGTACTAACATGTAATTTTAGACTGTTACAAACTTCTTTCAAATGTAAGTAGAGGATTCCCACTAGATAAAACTGCATGATGCATTGGAAACTTGGAAGGAAAAAATATTATTATTTGTTGCAAAATGGTAATGCTGCAAACACCATTTGTTGTTGTTGGTGGTGGTCTGCTAAAGAAGTTGATGCTGAAAGGGACGCCTGGGTGGCTCAGTCGGTTAAGCGTCTGCCTTCAGCTCAGGTCATGATCCCAGGGCCCTGGGATCGAGTCCCGCATCGGGCTCCCTGCTCCGCGGGGAGCCTGCTTCTCTCTCTGTCTCTCTCTCTCTCTCTCTCTATCTCTCATGAATAAATAAATAAAATCTTAAAAAAAAAAAAAAAGAAGTTGATGCTGAAAAAGATACATTGTGTATAGACCAGGGCCACAACTCCTATCGGTCAGGTACCATTACGACCCTATTTTAACTGTCTTCTAGTGCATTGAATCAATAGTATATGAATGAGTAATAAACTCTAACCTTTGCGAAGTACGTGAACAAATTGATCTACTACTCACAAACTCATTATCCAACAAATTTATTTTTTGCCTTCGTAAAATAGATCCACAAATACATAATTGACACATACTGGCAAGCTTTTAGCTCTCTCGTTAAAGCTTGAAGCTGAGTGCATCTGTACACACACATATAAGCTCATACACACACAAACTCATATATCACATTTTGAACTCACATATATATGAGCTACATATATATATACACAAAATACAAGAATGCTTGAGACATTTAAATTCTGAATTCTG